CGTGTGGATAGGACTCTGGTTCAAGTAGTTTCACCTTCTGGAAAGGTGAGATTGAATGGCAAGGTGATGTGCCCAGAGTCAAAGACGGATCTGGCAAGCCACACAGATGAACACATAGACTGGTGGTGTCTGCTTTCAAATTTCATTGAACAACTAATTATCTGGCTAAAAAGGTCAATAACTTGGACATTTTCCCCCTAATTTCTCCTTCTATGTGGGTGTGTGTGTTCATAATCAAATTCCATTGTATACATTCGAGACTTTCAGCATTCTAGAATATCAGGTCTGGTTAGAACCTTTATCATCATAGTTCCAATGAGGAAAACTGAGAATTGAAAAGAAGGAGACTGTCAGCTGGTGTGTGTGGAAGGGAAGACCCGGGGGGCAGTACTTGTGATCCCTCTTGAACCTCACAGCAGTCATGAGCTAATTCATCTTTCATCTCCTCCCACAGGAAGACTTGGAATTCAATGTGAATGGAAGTTATATGGATCGCACTTCATCAACTTTCCATTTTTATTTATTTATTTTTACTTTCTTTTTTACTCATCTTTACTTTCTTCTCTCATAAGTTCTTTTCTGCCTTTTATTCCATTTTTAGAAAACACATATTTCTTTTATAGTTTCTGTGACACTTCATCCATGTGGTGAATCCCCTCATCTGGGCAACTGCTTGGAGGATGTTTTTGTATTATTTTTGGCTTGGGCATCCATTTGCTGCCAGAGAGTGATAGCAGAGGTTGCCTCCCCAAATGCCCACAGTGCTGATAAGAGGAGCTGGCAAGTGGCAAGACAGAAGCCATGAGAAGGTGGGGAGGAGGCCAGGTTCCAGGGACCCCAGCTCCACATGGCAGGCATCTGATATCTGAGAGCTGAGCTCAGAGTCAGTTCTCTGCATCCATCCAGTCCTCAGGAGGAAAGTGCTTGACATCTGGGGATGTGGGGTGACTACCTTGCCTGACAATGGCAATGGACTAAGAGGGAACACACATACATTCTCTCTTCTCACTGTTTTTCTATTATTTGATAGGACCCAGGAAAGCAGTGGTCATGATGTCTCAGTACCTGGCATCATTTAAGGACAAAGCATGCCAAGGTTGCTTCCCAGGGGTCTGAATAGGATGAACATCACTCACACTAGACACCCCCTCTGCTGGCTTGGAGGAGCTCAGCTTTGAGGTAACATGGCATCATTCTGGCCACGCATTGTCAACCCTGGACAAGCTCGCTCTTCTGACACTGTCGCATGCCAGCATGTCAGCGATGGTGATGCCTGGTGACAGAGAAGCCCCAGTGGGCACTGATAAGGCTTCTTCCAATACTGAGATTCTACCTTCCCACTATTTATCCATTTTTTGACCACAGGAAGTGTTTTTTAAATAAATGGACTTTTATCAGGTGCCATTATTTAGAAAAAAGGCCAAAACAAAACAGCCACTGCCTTCTGAAAGCAAAACAAAAACAAAAACAAAAAACCCAGAAGGAGAAAAATACAGAAAAATGGTCAGGAGTCCATGCAACTCCCTAGCTCTAGGTTTAAGGAGGCTCATGAGACAATGTGGCCATCCGCTGGACCAGAGGATGGAGAATGAATGATTTTCTAAGCAGAAAAGAGGAAATGGAGTGTGCATCAGCTGCCATTACCAAACAGACTCTAACTCCACTCTCCATAATGGTAATGACTCCCATTTACATGGTACCTTTTGCCAGCTCTGATCTCAGGGTGTGCTCAAAGTCTTCTGTTGACTCAGTGCCTAAGTTAGGGCCTCAGTGAGCCAACAGATGACATTATCTTTGCACTGAATCTTTTTTTAGAAAAGAATCGCTCGTGCAAAGTGAGACATGCAGATGCTGAAGACACGAATCCAGAATGAAGAAGCAAGAGGTGGTGGGAGAGAAGTTGTGGGACAGGCAGACCCTCAGTATCATTCAGCTGAGTAGGACCTCCATGCCGAGGAGGTCTCAGAATGATGTCAGGGCTTTTGGTAACCTCCACGTCATCTCCTGCCTCCTTTTCATGGAACCTGGTCCTCCTCAGAGCATCACATAAAGGTGAATGCTCTTCAGAGAGCCTTGGTGAACTCTGACATTGGACTCCACATCATGTGAAAGATATTATTCCTTCATGCTTTGGGGGTTCAGAAGTGAAGGAGACATTTTAGCCATAGATAAGGAGATGCCAAGGCTCAGAAGGAATGACAGGAATTCTGGTCTGTCTCAGTAAGAAACTCAACAAGATGTGCAGGGGACATCAAGTATAACTCATAGACATGGCAGCCATCAACCATTATGACTCATTAAAGTATTGGAGAAAAATGAACTCTCATAACATAGTGATAGGCACAAAGCAGTGCCAAAAAATAACTCAGAGAACTGGATTTCAGAAAGGACCAAGGTGGAAGCCCTGTCCCTGTAGATGTTTCCAGGCTGATATGTGGAAAAGGTAAAGCCATAAGGGTTCCTTCTTCATTGGTTGGGAATTGAATAAAGGGATGTTTTCTTTCCTTAACTACTCTCTTCTGTAATAACCACATAATTACTCTGCAAACACCATACAGAAGGGCATGCTATCTAAGGATGGAGAAAATTTGGAAGCAAGGGTGGTGGTGGCATACAGGAGCACTGGGCTGGGTCCCAGGAGCTGTGAGCTAGACTTGGCCTTCACTAGTTGGGTGGCAATGAGGTCAAACTTCAATGCAACAGGCAAAGAAACAAAAGGGCTTAGAAACAAAAGTGATGGTTTTCTGAACTTGGACAATTCACATGATCACTTTGAACTTCAGTGTCCTGATCTGTTATGTGGGAAAGACAGTACCTGTATTCTAAGATTGCAGGAAAGATGCTACGCAGAAATGTGTGTGAAATGGCTTTAAGGACTGAAATGCACTACACAGAAGAGATCTGGCCCAACCCTCCGAGTTACATTTGGGTAGACAGTATCCCAAAGAATTAGGCATTATAAATGGACATACATCTGCCATGCCTAATGTCACACAGGGAGTTCATAACAGCGTTGCACCTAGTACTCAGTTCTCCATGCAGAATCCAGTTGTCTTTTATGATATTGTAATAATGCCCATTTCTTCTTACCTCAACTGGTTGGCTGAAAATCAAATGAGAAGATAAGAGAGGCAGAGGGAGAAGTTTGAATAAAGCAATGACCACGATGTAAATGGTTTGTATTGGTATAACTAGAGTGTGGACACACTCTGAGAAATGCAGTGACCAGAGACAGAGCAAGCTAGGAAACTCTATCAATCAACCAGCACCCAGCAATATAATCCAGCCACAGAAAAATCCCAGTAAGATCACTGGGAAACCTAACATGCAACAGTGGCTGATTTTAGCTTCTGAAATCTTACTCCTTAAGTTTATTAAGTTAGGATTTTGTCTGTAGGTTCTTAGCAGTAGCTCATCAGTCACTATTTTCTAGCTAAATAATGCAACCAAAATACAAAAATAAGCACCCTCTGTCCATGGCTAGCTTAGGTCCCATGGATCAGTTTCATCACGTTGAAAGAGACACCAGCAGTACTTCTCACGTGCAAGTTTAATCTAGTGCCTCCTGTCCAGATGGGCTTCACCTGGGCTCTGCACAAAACCAAGCACCCTCAACAAAGTCTGATGATGAGAAAAGGTGAAGTCCAGATGAGAACGTCCGCTTTAGGCAGATGTGAAGTGTAGGCTATCTGTCCCCCTTAGCAAATGCAGGAGACATGACTGCTAATTGGTTTCTTTATTCACCAAACAGAACATCTACCAGGACAACAACTCACCAGCTAGTGGCAATTGGGGGCAATCTTTCAATGGTTTATAACTCATACTCATATTTTCGGAATCTACTGGCCTAGAAAATGTCTCTAATTCCTCATGAATAGCCTGTTCTCACCTTCACCAATTCTAGACTCCCTGGGAAGGAAGAGGACAAGTGAGTGGAGCACACCATCACGACAGGCGAAACACTATACCTTATCCTTAAACATGGATGATCGGTCCTTTAAAACCAGGCTTGGGCCAGAGAATTTTATACCATTTAGAAACGGGCAGAATGCAAGACATTCTTTCAGCTTCTGCAACTCCTAGGAAAGGAGTTTCTACTTTTTTTCTAATAAATAACTGCTCTGGTCCTCTACAGGAGTCTTATCAGACATGTGACATATAGACAGGAACAAAGGGATACTTTTGAAGAAGTGTGAGGCTCCCAGGGCAAGGAAGGATTCCTTTGGGTGAGGAGATTAGCAAGGAAATAGTGCCAACAACTGACAAGGAATGAGGTCTTTCTAGAAGCAAGCAACATTTCAGTTCAGATAGTGAGCAGAAACCCATTTCAGTGGGCATGCCAAGAGACACAGTGGTGAGGTCTCGTGGGGGCAAAAGACACATACCTTCCAGCCAGGTCCCTTCCCCTTAGTGCAGGGAAATGATAAGTGTCTAGAGCCTGCCCAGGGAAGCTCAAATGTCCATGGAGAAAGAAAAAGCAACATGCATGGTACTGGGGCTCCCTGATCAGCTAGACTGTGGGACTCATCGGTCCTCAGCTTTTAGTGACTCTAATTCCAGTAGACTTCTCACCTAAGATATCTGGGGTCAGCATGCCAGATGAACAAATTTTTCCCTTTCAACCTTGGCATTCTTGGAATCTTGTTGGCATTACTAGTGAATGTACAGGCTTTGTGCATCTAGCAAACTGTACCATCAGATTAGATGAGGACCTAAGAACAGTATCTTCAATAAAAAGGCTGACTGTGATGGGTATGGTTGCAGCCTTGTCGGCTACTGGGGCTGCCTCTGGGTCCACAGTTTCCTAGGCAATGGGGTCCAGGAGATTGAAAAGACAAGTACCAAATACTACCAAATAAACAATGTACTGCGAACTCAAATGTGTATTTTAATTCTATTCCCATCTCTTTGCAAACTAGCAAGCAGTGTGTCAATGATGACTAGCATCTGAAGCCCAGCAACTCAAAACCAAGACAGTCTCAAGAAAGACTTGGCCTTACCTGGAGACATGGAGGAGTCATAGGAACTTCTCTCCTTGCGGCTCATCTTGAAGGCTTGGATGTCTTTCTCCCTGTACGTCCCAAAGCCTTCATAGCTCCTCCTTTTACTCCCACTCATGTCACTGTCCCACTTGTCACTCGAAGGGTTCATGTCACTGAACACGTCCAGGCTCTCTGATCTCGTGCTGCCACCATCCCCGCCACTGCCAGAGTACCTTTTAGTGCATGAGTCCACAGGCTCACTGCCCAAGTCACCTTTGTCCTTGACCTGCGTCCAATGCTGGGCATCTGAAAGTGACAGCGTAGACAGGGTGTCCACCTCGAAGTTGTTCTTGGAGGCTTTGTGGCTGGCGTCGCTGTGCTGGTGCTTCTGTTTCTCCTTATGCTTGTTCTTCTCTGTCACCAGCGGGAGCTCCTTGTCCACACCACCTAGTCGCTCACTCAGAATGTGGCTGGAGAAGCTGGTGGCTTTGCCTCCAAAGAGCCCGCTCAGGTTGTCATGGGTCCCCAGGATTCGGTCTTCCTTGTGCTTATGCTTGTGTTTGTGTTTTCTCTTGTGGAGCCGACCACCAGATAGTCCAGCATTGCTGACCTTGGGCGGGTTCAGGGAAGGCTGTATGTCATTGAGTCCCATGCTGACGGGTCCCTGCAGGTGCACTCCGTGCTTTGCTTTATGCTTAGCTGCACTGGACATCTTTACGTGGGAGCTCGCATGGAACTGAGGTGGTGGCACTGTTGGCCTCATGAATGGAGACGCTGCTCCGAGCGTGTGTGACAGGTACAGAGGAGCTGGGTACTGACCGTAATAGCCAAGGTTCATCATAGGCATTGATGTGTAAGGCATTCCATAGGGTGCATAGTAACTTCCGCTGGGAATAGGGTAGCTGAACCCTTGTAAAAAAGGCACCTTTGTCATGGTGTCATTGGTTTTTGCAGGCCTACCACGCTTCTTCTTTGACTTCAAGTCTGAAGTCCTGCGAAGATAGAACAACGGGTCATACTGGATATATGGCACCGGGTAGTAGTGATCAAAATTAATCCGAAAAATGCTGGGATATGGATTCTCGTGGTAAAAGGTATAACTCCGGTGGGAGATCCTGAACACCTGGAACTTGGTGATGAGCTCCTCCAGGTCTGCCAGAAACTGGAGGTCATCGCGGTTTTGCAGGCTCTTCCGTTTCCTCTTGTGCTTTGGCTTCTTGAGACTTTCGTGGGCCAGAAAATTGTCCACGATGAGATGCTTTTGCCGGTGGCCATGCCGGTTCTTTGTGCTGGTGTCGGACGGAATGGCCTCTGGGTTGTCCAGGGAGCAGAAGTCAAAAGAGTACCTCCGTCGGGATTCTGAACTCTTCTCCGCCTGGTCAGACGTGCTGTTGTTGTCTGTCCCGATGCCACTGTCACTGGGGATTGTCTCCTCGCTGTGGGATTCGCTCACAGGGGACAGCGTGATTTCCTTGAGTGAGCCAATCTCACAGAGGTGTGACGGGGAGTTGGCCATCAGCCTGGGTGGAGATAGCTTCCAGGTTCCACTGTGAATTCCCTTTTGGGTTTTGGTTGGAAGAGCACTGATGGGCTGGAGATTTGGCATAGTTTTCAACTCTGAAAAGTTGGTTTCAGTGCTGGCGGGGCTCAGGTTGCCATTGGACCCACCTAACTGCGTAGAGAGTGGGTGCATAGCTGCTGGTGAAGATGCCACAAGGGACTGAAAGTTGGAAGGCACGGCTGGGACTTCCGGCTGGCTAGAAACAGGCCTTGGGTGCTTGATGGCTGTTTTGGGTTCTTCAGATGGGGGTGGCAGCTCCGCCCTTGGCTTCCTGCCCCTCTTCTTGCCAATGTAGATGGTTCCTCTCTTGCTGACATTAATCTGCTTGCCCAGTTTGCTTTCAATGGCTGCTGCCCCAGGGCTGGTTTCCGGGGGAGCTTTGGCCTTCAGGGCAATGCTGCTGGAGCAGGACAAGATCTGGTTCAAGATATTCTTTCTTTTGAGCGTCTTCATCTTATTGATAGTCTTGATGGTCTTTTTATCCAACACACCGAGCTTTCCAACTTTTTTGTGAAATTTCATCTCACTTATGGGTTTGTCCTCTCCCGGCACTAGCTGGGCCAACTTGGCTAAGTTGCGCCGTCTCTTTCTTTTCTTGGTGCCAGGAAACTCTCGGCTGATGGGACTGACCGGGCTGGTGGAGGTACCCTCATGAATGGTTTCAACTGTAAGCAAAGGCTGCTTCTTTGGTCGGCCCCGCTTCTTTTTGACTGGAGTGATCACAGTAAGACTGTCTGTGTTGGTGTACAGAGGGCTGGATGGAGTGATGGGGTACGCAGACGGGGGTTCCACCATCAATTTGTCGGAGGTGGACATGACTGCCTCTCGAAGCATATTGCTGGGTTTGGGTTTGCTGCATGTCCACCTCCGTTTGGCAGCAAATTTCGGATGTTGGATTTCTGGAAGCTTCCTCGATGAAGAGAGATCTGTGCACATTGGAGGCGTCATGATCAGGGGTGGCTTCCGCTGCTTGGACACACTTCCTGGGACTACTTTTTCTGTATTTCCACCACTTTCAAGGCCAACAGAGGGAGATTCAGTCTCTATCATTTTACCCAACTTAGGGACACGGGGATCCTTCTTATTCCCCTCAGAGTTGGAAAGTATCCTGTTCATGACTTCACTGCTCATTGTAATGCTGGAAGCCAGTGCTTTCTCTGGGATGATCTTTTCCACCACTGTCTTCATAGACTGCCTCTTTTTCCTCTTATGACTGGTTGAATCTAGGGAGGGGGTCTTGATGGGGATGGTGATCCGGACATGACTTGGGTCATTTTCTGGATTACCGATAGAACTCATGCTCTGCCTGGTCGGGGATGCCTCTTGGGCACTGTCTGTAGAATAGCCTTCCCTTTTCCCTTCGGCATTGTCAAATGCTTTCTGGGCATTCTTGACCCAATCCAGGTCTGGGTTTGGTATGGTCTGACTTATCACATCTTTTTTACTGGACTTTTTCTTGTTGCCCATGGTGGGTGGTTCTGGAGGTTCCTTTGTACCTCCTCCCTCTTGATCCACCAAGGGTTGAAGCCCATTGCCCTCGACAGAGTTGCTGGGTGGTGCTGGAGAACTGTGGCTGCTTGGAGATGGAGCCATGGCTCCCAAGAGCAGATCTTTGCTGTTGTTGGACAACTGAGTCCATGTGCTCCCGGTGCTGCCTTTCTTACCCTGGGCCTTTGCAAAGGAGGCCACGGGCTCAAGGGCTGGGATCTTGCTGGTGCTTACAGTTTCTCTGCCAGACTCTGGACTCAAGAAGCAATTCTGAGTGGTGGGTCCGCTGTCGGAGTTGGTGGACCATTCCATGTGGTTCTGGCTGCTGCTTTTTTGCTGGTGCTTTGGTTTTAAGGTGTCACCGGTGAAGTCCTGTGGGAGGCCTGTGTCATAATGGAGAGCTGAATGTTTCTGGGGCCTCTCGTAAGCCTAAGGATGGGGAAACAGAGAGGGAGAGAGAAGGAGAGAGGGAGAGAGAGAGAGAGAGAGAGAGAGAGAAAGAGAGAGCGAGAGAGAGAGAGAGAGAGAGAGACAAAGATAAGCATGTTGGAGCTACTTAACACGTAACATCAAAAGTCTTAATTATTTGAAAGTTGGAAACCAACAGCCACTTTTTTTTTGAGTTGGAGTTTCACTCTGTTGCCCAGGCTGGAGTGCAGTGGCATGCTTACGGCTACCCCAGTGTCAACCTACTGGGCGCTGGTGATCCTTCTGCTTCAGTCTTCCAAGTAGCCAGAACTACAGGTGCATGCTACCGCGCCTGGTTAATTTTTGATTTTATTGTAGAGATGAGGTCTCACCAAGTTGCCTGGGTTGGTCTCTAACCTGTAGGCCCAGGCAATCCACTTGTCTCAGCCTCCCAAAGTGCTGGGATCATAACAGTCACTTTTAATTCCAGAATGTTTTAAAGAGGTTTTCTGGATTGTAGTAGTAAAGATAGGTTGCACAGAATTTGAACATCAATAAGAATGTTTGTCTTTTTCCCCCTCAATTACAGGAACCTTGACTTATCTTGGTTTAGTGAAACTGGAGAGTAAAACTGTTTAGAGAGAGAATGAAGGGCCCTTAAGTCACTTGGCGCCATGCCCATGTTTGACAAACAAGGAAGCTGAGGCCTGGACAAGGGCAAGTCCTGCCAAGGGGGCCAGAACCCAGGATAGCTCCTGAGTTTCCAACTCCAGGATCCTTCTGCCTCACCCCAGCTGCCTTATGGCTCTGCTCTTGCTTCTCTTCAAATGCTTGTCTTTCTCTGCTTCCTCTAATTCCAGTTTACTTCAGCTTGTAATTTATCTAATTTAATATCCTTGACCTCAAACAACAAGTAGCTCCTCAAGTATCAGTGTGACCAGTCAAAGCAACCCAAGTTGTGGAATTAAGGTGAGGAGGATGAAGACTGTGTGGGAGAAAGTGACCTGTCAAGGGTGTGGAGAAAAAATAGAAGATGAAAAGAAAGAGAAAATTGTGCTGAGCCTTCAAAAACCTTGCGGACTCTAGGAGTGCTGTTGTGTTTGGGGGTTAGCATGCTAAGGAATCTTTAAGCCCCTATGAAGCATTCATTGTTCTCTTGAGGAAACTCTTGGATAGTCTCAAAAGAAATCTTGAGTCTCCTAGACAAATATTCCAGGAAAAAAGAATGATTGTCATTCAAGATCATGCCTCTGAACTTTGCCAACTGTCTTTTGCCCCTACACTGATTTTAAACGAATGTCTTCAGCATCTTCCTTAGGACTGACTCTCCAGTTAAAAAAGGCAGAACCTAGTGCTTGCTGTGTCTACAAAACCACAGTGGAAATGGGTAGAGATCACATAGTTTTGAGATATTGAAGCTATTTTAATATAAATATTTATTCACTGTTCCAGATAGATTTTAATTTTAAGCCATGTTACTAGTACCAAGAAGCATCTCTTAGAGGTCATTATAAGTCCAGTTTACACATAGAGTAACAAACTTACAGGATACATTAGCCTAAGATCTATTTAAGAAGCAAAAATACTAGTAAATTGAACAAAGCTTTGAATAATATCCCCACTGAAAACTATATGATGATAGGCTTAGTGAGTTTAGAAAAATTTAGCCTGTAATATCTATCTGTCTATGCATCTGCCTCTCTCTCTCTCTCTCCCTCTCTCCATCTATCTGTCTATCTATCTATGAGAGGGAAACCAAAAAAATCAGAATTATCTTTTGGACCACAGACCCCTTGTGGTACACTTGGAATTTGTTCCTCTGGATCAAACGGTCAATCAAAGATTTTATATAAAAGCTTTGAGAAGGTTGCATCATAATTTGCAGAAGATACATCCCAAGTTGTGGCAAACAGGTGACTGGTTCTTCCACCATGACAACATTCCTGCCCACACCATGCTGAGTGTTCAGCAGTTTTTGACTAAAAACAGCATGACCTCCACGCCCCACCCTCCCTATTCACCCAGTCTCACTTGGAGTGACTTGTTTGTTTGTTTGTCTCCCTAATGAAAAATGTACTCAAAGCAATATGTTTTGCTGATGTGGAAGAGGTGAAACAAAAAAATGGCAGAAGTACTAAAGGGCATCTATACTGACGAGTTCAAAACCTGTTTGAGCAGTGGAAAAAGCATCTCACTAGGTATATTGCATCAAATGGAGAGTACTTTGAAGGTGACTGAAGTTTAAACACTTTAGAATAAAGACACAATTTTTATAAATAAATTACGTTTTGGGAGGTCCTCCCTTGTATATTTATTATCCATGTTATTCTCTCTCTATTTGCCATTGAAGCTATGGAACTTAGCTTTATTAGAAAACAATTCTTACAGTCCCTGTTAAGACTCAAAACACAGATGGCAGAAAACATTACAAGTAAAATTCAGCATAGTAATGCAACTAGGGTTTCCTTCACACTAGTTTCTGTAATCTCAAGGGTTATTTCCTAACTCCTTAATTTTTGTGACATACCATTTATACTTACAACATTGCACTATAGTTTCTAAGTATCATAAGGTGGTCTCCTCAAGCTAAGCATGTAAATACCCAGGAGACAGTCAAAATAACAATTTGCTTAATTTTTTAATTCACCTTGCAACATATAGTAGAAACACCAGTGTCATCAATATAGAATTAATCCTATCACAAGTGTGTTTACTAGGTGTCACTACCACAGACACAGGCTGCTATTTCATTTCCAGCAAAAATATAGAAATTTTACTCATGGCATAAAATATTAAGTGCCACTTACTTAACTTTTATGAATCAGGACGTTGTTAATTCGTGTTTATGCTTTGGACATTGGCTGGCACTCTGTATTCACTCCCAGGAACACAGGTCTAGAAGAGGGCCTGGAGACTAATTCTCCCATTCCTTAGGATGGCAATGTATTAATACTTAGACTGGGGCATCCTTGAGAGTTAATGGGGGTGATTATTAAAAACTACAGTGAGGCCAGGCTCAGTGGCTTAGTCTGTAATCCCAGCACTTGGGGAGGCTGCGGCGAGTGGATTGCCTGAGCCCACGGGTTCAGGCCAGCTCAGGCAACTTGGCGAGACCTCATCTCTACACTAAATCACACACACACACACACACACACACACACACACACACACACACACACACACACAATTAGCTTGACTTGGTAGTGAGTGCCTATAGTTCTGGTTACTTGAAAGGCTGAGGCGGAAGGATTAGTGGACCCCAGAAGGTTGACATGGTGGCCATGAGAGTTCACTGCACTGCAGCCTGGGCAACAGAGTGAGACTCCAACTCAAAACAGCAACAACAACAAAAAACAAAAACTACAGTGAGACACAATGTATGATGATGTTTTGAACTTGGGTGAAACAAGACTTGCAGAGTCACCCTATTTCCTCCTATCACTACCCTTTCCAGTTCTCTAGTTCTGGGCACTGGAGTGCACAGAGTGGCTCTGTGGTGATGCTAAGATGGAATCTTGGTCCCTGATTCCCACCACTTTTTCTCTGTTGTTCCAGCTTCTTATTCTTGGCACCTAGCAGGCTCCATAATGAATGTCTTCTTCATACTCTGGTCTCAATTCAATCCTAGGGAGGCAGCCCCACCTTATAAAAATACCCCTTTTATAACTTTTCATGAACCATGTATCTTACCTTTGTTGTACCTGCACATATGATTTGTGTGCTGATTGCATTAAATGCATGCCTCCCATTCCAACATATACACATTATCACAGAGGTACCAGGTACAGCACCTGGCACATGGTAGGCAGTCAATAAACATTTATTGAATGAGTGAAGAAACATACATTTTGCTACAGGTATTTAATTTTTTCAGTAGTGCGAACGATGACATTTAGATTGTGACATTGTCTGCAAACACAATCACCACTTCAGCCTAAATTCTTTCTTCTCTCTCTCTTTGAGTCAGAGTCTCATTCTGTCACCTAGGCTGCAGTGCAGTGGCATGCTCATGGCCACTGCAGACTCGACCTCTTGGGCTCAGGTGATCCTTCCACCTCAGCCTCCGGAGTAGCCGGGACTACAGGTGCATGGCATCAGGCTTGACTAATTTTTAAAATTTTGTAGAAACAAGATCTTTCTATGTGCCCAGGCTGGTATCAAACTCCTGGGCTCAAACAATCTTCACGTCTCAGCCTCCCAGAGCACTGGGATTACAGATGTGAGTCACTATGCCCAGCATTCCAGCCTAATTTTTTGCACCATACATGCCTCCTGCATTCGCCATTGCCTCCCTTAAAGACATCTATCACTGTCCTTGTACTGGTAGATGGCACTTCCTTGTATGCTTTCTGTCTCCTTCTCCTGGACTGTAAGTGCTTTGAAGTCAGAAATGGCCTTGCTTAACTCCTCATTCCCAAGGCTACTCCAAAGCCAACTGCCCAGAAAGTTCTTGATAAATGTTTGTTGAATAAATAAAAGAAATATATGAGTGAGGTGCCTATTACAATGGCAGAATATATGGCTGTACACAAGAGATAATACCCCAGGAATCTGTCACTGGCTAATGGTGTCTAATGAAACTGCAGCCCTGAAATGCATTAGGTATGGAATAACAACAAAATCCTCCCCAAATACTTAAGGAATAAAGTATTGTAAGGTAACTCCGATTCAATGCATGTTTTTTTTTCCTTACTACTCCTTCGCCCCATCTCCTAATTGTTTCACTTTCCAATTAACTCTGCCTTTGGGGTAGGCCTGTGACTGTCCTGGGGGTGGATTTCATCCAGGGATTGAAAGGTGAGGCCAGCTCACTTTCACCCTGGGCTAACCAGCTGAGAGTGATGCAGTCAAGCGCCCAGTTCCCCAGCGCTTCCCTGCGCTGCCTGGGACCAAGGCCTGATCCCATTGTTCCCACCATTTCAGCTGCAATTTGCCCTGCTGGGAGCGCTCAGCAGGTAGTATGGGGTAGACAAAAGGGAAGCACAACAAAGGATCAGGAGTAATGGGGGGGACATGGTGCT